AAATACACACAGGGGCGGGAGCAGTGAAGCAGGCTGATCCTCTGCTGCAGCACTGGCATCCCATATGAGCACTGGCTCATGTCCTGGCTGCTTCACTTCCCAACCCAGTGACTGGGAAAGCAGTGCAGAATGGCCCAGGTCTTGGGAACCTGCACCCATGTGGGAGACGAGGAAGGAGTTCCTAGCTCCTAGCTTCACAATGGCCCAATTCTGGCCACTGCAGACATTTGGAATGGGAACTCTATGTAACTCTGCCTTTCCAAGCAAAATAATTTATTTCAAAAATACATACAAAAAAATACATACATATACACCCTGGGACAAATTTAAGGATTAAAAGAGATTTGCAATGAAAATTAAGAAAATACTGAAGAAAAACCTGAAGATACCCAACAACAAAATGAAAACAATGGCAAAGAAGAAAGAAAGAAAGAAAGAAAGAAAGAAAGAAACAAACAAACAAAGAAACAAAGAAAGAAAGAAACAAAGAAAGAAACAAAGAGAAAACCCAAGTATCATCCCTCTGTCCCAGGGTCTGCACTGGCAGCAAGTCTGACTCAAGAGATGAAGCCAGCAAGCAAACAGTCACTCTGATGTTGGAAGCAGTTCACTATGTTAGCCACTATGTTAAGTGCTAGCTCCCTAAATCACATTTTTTTTTAATGGTGATGTTTACAGAGTTGATGGGGGTGGGAAGGATTGAGGGTTGGGGGAAAGTGGGTGAGATCATTGTTTGCAAGTTTCCTTTTCTTCCTCCTGTATCTGGGAGCAAGGGAGGAGATGAGAAGAGAAGCTGCACTCAGCCTTCCAACTGCCTCAGTACCTGGGGTGGGGAATGGCCACCAAATATCATACCAGGGTCCCAATGGGAAGCATGCTCTGAAGGTTCTGCTCAAGTAACTTTAATAGTTCTGAAATGCTGTTAGTTTTATTGCTTCAAGGATGGGAAAATCTGTCCAAGGACCATTGGCTGACACAGTCCACCTTAGAGTTTCCATTCTCCCAGATATATGCTGGCAACACTTGGCTGGGCTAGTTGTATAGTTTGCTTTACCCTCCTTCCTCTGCTATGGTAGCAGATGTCCTCTGCAGTTCCCAGTGGACTGTCATATCCTCCATGTGCATCTGGGTATGCCATCCACTGCTCTGGCTTAGCTACAGAGGAAGCCCAGTACTGATACCTGCACTCCAGTCAGTCCACTGGCCCTGTGCTTCAGCCATGGTTGGAATCCTGGTCCCGTCTGCCACACATCCCATTCAGCTGTTATATATGTCAATGGGTGTTTTAGCCTAGCTCAACCCAACCAACCCAGTTATCCAGACCACACTCATCCCAGTAGCTGCCACTGCTTGGCCAGACAGTCCCACCCGCAGCCCTGCTTCTCATGCTTACCTGTGGGAGTCGCAGCCCATTAGAGAGGAGCCCACAGTTTCCCTACTGGGAGATCTTGCGCCCTCCTGGTGGTTCTGCAGTCTAGCTTGACAGGAGCTGTGCCTGGTCTAAGCATTTGCCAGTCCTGACGCTGTGGCAAAGTCTGAGCAGCCTGCACTTACCCTAGCTCACGCATGCACAGTGTTTATAGTCACTTGGCCTTGCTGGCTTTCCCAGCTCACATGCAGCCCTATGGGTATTGTAGCCCTGCCAAGCCTGGTCTGCCCTCAGTCCCAGGTCTCACTCTCACCAACAGGAACCCATGCTGCCCTCGTAAAAAGGTCCCCCAGGTCTCACATGTACTGGTGGGGGCTATAACCTGGTCTGGAATGGTGTGCCTCACCTTGGCATTTGTTGGATGGTATTGTAGCCTGGCCTGGCAGGGTTTGTACCCAATTCCAGCTCATGCTGGTGGGAACTGCAGCCTAGCCTTGCCTAGCTAGCCCCCAGTCGCAGCCCTAAATGTGAACTGGCTGCTGTTACAGACCGACTAGGCCTGTCCTGCACCCTGCCCTGGTTCTCAGCTCTGCCCGTGGCTGCCAAGAACGGGTCCAGCCTGGCCTGCCCCCATATCTGAGCCACAGGTCTACTGGTGGGTACTGTAATCGGGCCTGGGCTGGGCTGCTCCCTGCCCTGGTTCTTGTGCTTACCTGCAGGGACTGTGTCCTGACGGAGGTGTTCCCCAAGCTCCTCGATATCGGGTCTCCTCCGAGTTCTTTCAGAAAAGCAGAAATTACACCATCACACGTGTGTTCTCAAGTAGTCGGAGGTGTTCTGGCTTGAAGAAAAGATGAGACTTGCAGTTAGATGATGATACATTAGGAGACCTTAAACCAACTTGGAACAGGAAAAAGTTGACATAGTGGCAGACTATTCATACTTTACGTATGATTAGATAAAACCATAATATGCAACAGAGAAGTTAGGATAAGTTGACTTGAATTTGAAAAAGAAAAATCTCAAGGAGTTACTTTGGGATGAAACCATCATCCTCACTGCTAACACTCTCCTTAGGGATCCACACAAATGAATCACTGCAACTCAGGAAATCCAAATGCATGGAGTATCTTAATGCATCAATGAAAAGCGTCCTCAGGTGAGACGAATTAAGAACAAAAAAATCTTTCCAAGAAGCTGGAAGATGGCCCCAGTGCTTGGGCCCCTACCACCCTCAAGGCAGACCCTGATGAAGTTCCTGACTTGGGCCTGGTCCAGCCCTGATCTTTGAGCCATTCGGGAACCACAGGGCAGATGAAACATTTGTCTGTCTCTCCTGCTCTCTCTGCAATTCTTTTTTTTTTTTTTTAATTATGTTGCCTTTTTTATTATTTTACAATATATTTCAAAAAATGACCTTACAGATGTCTTACCTGCTCTATAAGACCTGGAATAAAAGAACACTTAGAATTAGAACACAGAGACATTAAGCTGTAATATTCACTTGTACTGAACCATTACTACCAAAGGGTAAGTATTTTTTTAAAATAAGCAGATGTGCGGCTATGCAAAATAAAATACAAACTTGTTAAAACAGAACAGTAAACTTGACTTTAATAGTTATGGAAAGGTGGCTATAGAAAGGAGGTGGTTTTGTTTTCTTTCTTCAACACATCTGGTTCTGGCAGCAAGTTGCATTATACATTTAAAGCAGTGTGTGCCCTGAAAGCTCATAGCTTCTGTTTGTGCGTATAACTTGGGTCAGAGACCAGACACATGGAAAAGCACTGTTCTCAACACCCTCAACATCTCTCCTTCCAGGAGGTCACAATGCTAACAAACTCAAGACTTTCCTTGCTGATGGTACTTAGTAATTGTTTTACTCCAGTTAACACTGGATGCTTTAATATTCTCTAAAAGAGAAGTGATGAAAGCGTGTAGAAACCCTCCAGGGTCCAATTGTCACTTCCCATTCCCCAAGTAGTAAAATAGCAGCTCTACATGTTATAAAGAAAAAGAGAGATAATTCAAATTTCTTATTAGTTTTTAACCATAGTAACTTTACAATGCTTTTAGATTTGGTTGAATTTCCAAAATGAAAATGTCAGTTGTCAAATATTTTAGGAATTTATTAAAGTATTACATATAACTGATTTCCTTTTAGCTACCCCTCCCCCTCAAAAAAGTATATATGGTGCATGTGTGTGCATTTACTTATCTTACCTTAACTGAAGTTCTCTTTTTCTAGTTGGACATGAGAAACCAGTTTAAGCAACCAACGCTTGCTTTTATTTCTATTATAAGCAGTAATTCAGATCTTTTTTCACTAAATATGACTGCAGCATTTTCATAATAAAATGCACAAAAGGCAATACCAAAAAATGCCTTCTGAACAGGCTTCTGACAGGCAACCCACGGAAGTTAGACTCTACCAAAGTGGCACTACGAGAATACAGGCATCCAGTTTCTTTTCCTTTTTTCAAATTTGTCAGTTATTTACCACAATTATTTTGTCTAGTAGAACACAATTTCATGCTGGACTTAACTCTTAAGAGTTGACATAAACCAAAACTGGACAGCAGTCAACTGGAATCACATTCCAATGGTCTCCAAACATACTTGGCTAAAACACATCTTTTCTTCTCCTTGACTGATTTTGCATTAATTTTATTAAACGTATAGCAAATAACACTGTAAAGTTTTTCTCAGAGCTTTTTCTTAGGGGACTCTGCAATTCTTGCCAACAAGTACCTGGTGAACTTGTAGACAGCGCTGTTCCCGGCTCCCCAGCAGGTGGCGGCCCCGCGCCCTGGCCGCACGCCCGCTGCATCCCGCCGGCAGCACAGAGGCTCGCGCGGCCCGGGAGCGCGCTCGCCCCGCAGCTCGGGCGGCTGGCAGGCGGGCTGGCGCCGGTCGCGTCGGCCGGCAGCAGGGCCCATGTGGAAGCTCCTCCCGGCCGCGGGCTCAGCCCGAGGTAAGGACAGAGAGGGACAGAGGGCCCGGGTTCGGAGGAGCGCCAACGCGGGGAAGGAAGTGGTGGAGGGTCGCTTCCGGTCCGGTCCCCTTACCTTCCGGGGCACGGCGGAACGGGAAGGAAACCGTGGGTCGGGCACGCGCGTGGTGGTCCCGGCTGCGCCGTGGCGGGGAAGGCCGGCTGTCCTCGGCCCCGGGGTTGGGCGGGTGGACGCCCGGCCCTGTCCCGCGCTGTGCAGTGGCCGTGGGACCCCGGCGCTGTGCAGTGGGCATGGGCGGTGGGGCGGCTGGCCCTTCGCTGAGCCCTGGCTGAGGTGGCTGAGGAGAAACCGGTGCACGGAGAAGCTTTCTGTTGTTTCAGACGCGTTTCCTTGCTGTCAGCAAGAGGGGACAGCCCAGACGTTTTCTTTTTGAAAGAGACACCAGAATTTTGCATCTCCGAGTTCACTGGCCTAGATGTGTCCAACACTGGGGCTGGTCAGGCCCAAGCCAGGAACCCCGGGATGCAAGGGCCTCAGTTGCTGTCTGTCAGAGTGCGCCTTGGCGGTGCTGGGCTGGACCCCCTGCACAAACCTGGGATGCTGGTGTCCCAGGGGAGCTGCAGCAAAAGCCAGGCTACTTCACCCTGCCCCTTTCCTGTGTGTCTGCACTTCTCTAGTGGAAGTTGCTAGTTGCCTGCCTGCTGTTTGTGGTCCTTATTGGCTGATAAAAGAAAGGGTAAGCCGGGAAAGCCATGATTGCCTGTGTGCTCAGGGTGTTCAATTGTGAGGCAGTGTTGACTGGCTATGTAAGGAGGATTAAAAAAAAAAGATTTCTTAATTTCACTTGAATGAGAGCAGGAAAGACAGAGAAGTCCTCAATTCTCGGGATGGCCTCCATGGCCAGAGCTGGACCAGTGCATAGCTGGCAGCTAGAAGCTTGTCTCATTTGCCCTACAATGTGGATACACGGGTGCAGGAAACTTGGGTCATACTCCACTGCTTTCCCAGCCAGAAGCAGGGAGCTGGATGGGAAGTGGAGCAGCTTGGGGTTGAACCAGTGCCCACATGCGATGCCAGCACTGCAAACTGAAAATTAATATGATCTGGCCCCTGAAGGACTTTTGTAAACACCAATACAGGCATTCCTATGAACTTGGACCAGTGCAAGGCCAGACCATAGAGATTTCAGTTTGTCTCGTGGCTCTCAGGGTTCCTGTGGATGTGTGGAAAGCAGACAGATCTGAGACAAATTGAGTTTGGCACAGCATACCTGAGGAAAGGCTTCATGAATCAAGGTGTGGCCCGAGCCAGTGGAGGTTGAGAGAGCAGTACCCAATGAGACCATCCAGGTCCTCTGAGGTCTTGGCCACACCTTCAGGTGGGTGGCACCAGCATTGCCCACCCATTTCTTAACTAATTAAGAGATCACCAATGGGGAACATCTCACCTGTAGGTTCCTCGCCCAACAAGGAGGGGTCAAGGAAGGCTTAAAATCCTAAAACCCTTCCTCAAACCTTTGGTGTCTCTCTCTCCCTCCTCTTTCGAGAGCACCCCACCTCCCGGCTTCTCTTCCGGAGGTGCTTCCCCTTCCTTCCTTCCCTGCTCCCTGGTCCCTTCGCAAATAAACTTTTCTGTTTGCAACAGATTCCCGGCTTTTTATTTCTATACTAAGCTGAGGAAAGAACCCACCGGGCATTTCTGGTAACACCCAACAGTCCAGCAGACGGTAGGAGGTGACTTCCAGAAACAGCGGGATTGGTTAGTTGCAGCTCACTGTTGGCCTGGTCTGAGTGTGCAGTGAGAAGGCATTTGCCCTCAGGACCTGGTCTGAGTAGGTGACAGGCTGAGACTTAGCCATCTGTTACATGGATAGCACTGCTCAGGGCAGGCATTTGGCACTGTGTAGCAGGGCTAGCCTGGGAGTCCTGTTCAGCCTGTCTCCAGCTGTTGGCTAAAGTGCACCCTTGGCCACAGCTCAGAGTTGAATTACTGCCACCTGTGGACAGACCAAGTTTGAGTCCTGGGCTCAGATACCCTGGATATTTGGGCAGTGAGTCAGAACGTGTATCCCTGTCCCCCAAATAAGTAAAGTAAAAATTTACAAAGAATAGGGGCTGGTGTGATGGCTCAACTAGCTAATCCTCTACTGTTAGCACTGGCATCCCATATGGGCACTGGTCCTTATCCCAGCAGCTCCACTGCCCATCCAGCGCCCTGCTTGTGGCCTGAAAAAGCAGTCCAGAACGACCCAAAGCCTTGGGACCCTGCACTCAATATGAGAGACCTGGAAGAAGCTCCTGTCTCCTGGTCTCAGATCGGCACAGCTCCGTTGTTGTGGCCATTTGGGGAGTGAACTAATGGATGGAAGCTCCAGTCAAGTTCATATTGGGACTTTACTTGGGATTTCAGTAAATGTATACTTTGGGAAAGCAATTCCTTTCACTGTTGTTATTCCTTGAGAGAAATGGTATGCCCTTGCATTAATGTAGGTGATCTTTTGATATTCCTCAATAAGGGTTTAATAGAAAATGGGGGTTTAATTTATGTAAAACTGATTAACATTGAAATAGCAAACTAAAATATTTTCTTGGCATATCATGAATTTTATCCTATATAATGTACACATTTATGTATGTGTGTTTGTGTCTCATTTTATTCCTCTTAGAACCATACAGACTTTTGACTGGCACTGAGTACATCGTTGGAAGGAAAAACTGTGCTATTCTAATTGAAGATGATCAGTCAATCAGTCGAAATCATGCAGTGTTAACTGCTAATTTTGCTGTGACCAACTTGGTATGTTCCTGATTGTATTTTGCTAGCTTGCCGTGAGAGTTGAAATCAGTATATTGCCTTGATGTGAGAGAGAGAGCTGTTTGAGCATTTTATGCTTTTGTTTCAGTGACTTAGAAACTTGGAGAAAGTAGGTTGTATTTGTATTTGTTTACTTAACAACATTGACTGTTCCCTGGTGAGAGTTATTGGGCTTAGCTGTGATACATTCCTGATGCTCGCTCTTAAAGAGAGTATGTGACTGATGGACACAAAGTCTGGGTGTGTAAAGGGAGGCTCCACAGTGGGAATGACAGTTTTCCCGGGGAAGACAACTGTTGCTTCTGATCCACAGCTCTTTTGAATGGCTTGGAAGGTATTTGTTAGCTTTCACCAGAACCACGGGTGATGAGAGTGATAAAAATATGTGAATAAATACGTTCAAAATCATCGTGGTAGGAACAAGAAAGTGAAAGTAAGCAGTTAGTTTGAACAAATGTGACAAATGCACAAGTGATGGATTAGTTTACTGGCATTTAGGTTTTGTGTCTATTTGTGTTGTAGAAAAGCATTATTATAGAAGTTGCAATAGAAAAAATAAAATTATTACCAAAAATCAGAACCTCTAGGCTTTATGCCTTGTTTTTACTCGCCCAGTGTTTACCATGTGCTTTTGATAATGTAAACAAAGCAAAACGAAAACGTAGGACTGAAGCTGTCATGTTATGCATGAAGCAAACTGCTGCCAATCATAAAATTCTCAAGTGTGTGAAATGGAAGGGTTGGGAAAGTCCCAACTGATTTACAGAAATAAAGAAAAATGTGTGTTCCAAGAGTTATAATTCTGAAATTCAGAGATTTTCTTGAATGGAGATATTTATGTTAATTGCTAATTAGTCCTTTGAAGGCAGCCAGAACAGTAGCTGTCATTCCCTGTGGTGGCAGGATATCCAGCTGTTTATTATTTTACCCTTTTCAAAAGTTATCAAATGTCTCCTGTGAATCATCTCCCCCTGGATTGTATGTACTTGAGCTGTAAAAGACTTGTAATTACTTCTCTAATTTTCAGAGTCAAACTGATGAAATCCCTGTATTGACAATCAAAGATAATTCTAAATATGGTACCTTTGTTAATGAGGCAAAAATGCAAAATCACCTTCCCCAAACTTTGAAGACAGGGGATAGAGTCACCTTTGGAGTGTTTGAAAGTAAATTCAGGTATGGATTTGTTTATTTAATTTTTGTTGTTAAAGATTTACTTTTACATGAAAGGCAGATGAACAGAGAGAAGGAGAGACTGCCTTTACTAGTTCACTTCCAAGTTGCCACAACAGCCAGAGGTGGGCCAATCTGAAGCCAGGAACCAGGAGCCTCTTCTGAGTCTCCGACATGGCTTAGGAGTCCCACAACTTTGGGCTTTCCTTGACTGCCTTCTCAGGCCACAAGCAGGGAGCTGGATCCACATTTGGGAAGCTGGGGTATGAACTGTTGCCCATATGGAATCCTGGTGGAAGCTTAGTGTACCAAACCAGTGGCACTGGCCCCACACTTTTTAAATTAGATTAAAGTGGACAATTTTATCTCACAACAATTGAATTTTAAAGCAAAGATAAGGATTATAAGATGAAGTATAATTGACTTCCCGTTTAGTACAGTAGTGAACTCTGTGTGGTTGGTATATTTTGTGGATCACAGGTGGGGGGTGACAGGTGGGTAAAAGTTTGTGTTAGTCCCTGTGAGTTGTGATAGGAGCCTCGTTTGTTTGATGCTTCATAAGTTAAAATGTAATGTTGATGTTGGCCATGTCTTTTTCTTCTTTGGGAACACAAGATTTAGGAGGTAAGAATTTCCTAAGTTACAAATTTATAATGTGTCAAAATTAAATGAATAATATGTTGTAAGCTTAAAGTTGTAAAGTATTGTAAAGTTGTAAAGTCTTTGTAACTGTGATAACGTAACTTTATTGTCATTCACAGGGTAGAGTATGAACCTTTGGTTGCCTGTTCTTCTTGCTTAGATGTGTCTGGGAAAACTGCTCTAAATCAAGCTGTATTGCAACTTGGAGGACTCACTGTGAACAGCTGGACAAAAGAATGTACTCACCTTGTCATGATGTCAGTGAAAGTCACCATGGAAGTAAGTTGAACTGTGTTCCCATATTACAACAAGTTCTGGGACCTTGAGTGAACTCACCACAGCACAGAGTTAGCACCATGTGTCTCTTCTGTCAGATTGTCTTCCTCCAGTCTCTGACATTGTCTCATGGTCTCATGCTCAGTTAAGCTGTAATCACACAAAGATTTCTTTGCTGTATCTTTAATGCCCTGAAATGTATGGATATGTACCTTCCAAAGATGCTGACTATTCATTAAAGCAGTGATGTATTTTGGTATATTTTCAGGTTTTGCATTTTCATCAGATTTGATATATCCAAAGGTAATTGAAGAATGGCGTTTAAGATGTGATTTGTTAAACAGGCTGACTGTGCAAAAGATATGTGGGATTGTTTTAGGCTGTGTTTGAAGATGCAAAAACCTTTTGTTATAATTAATTAAATATTAGTGTTATATTCTAATTTATATATAAATGGCTCTTATGTGTGTACATATATGTGTATGAAATAGCTGTCAAAGAGAAAGGCTTTTTGCCCAGATTGAACCTGAAGTTAAATTTGTACCATGGTGAAGTTACCCTGAACAAAGATAGTTTCCTCTTGGAAAATTTAGGACATTGATTTTTTTGCTGCTGCAGCAAGACTAACTTAAAAAATACTCATGTTGATAAACTCACAGGTAATAGATTCATAAAACATTTGTAAAACCAAAATTCATATGCATGAGGACCTGATATTTAAATGTTAGCTCAGCATAATCTCCCTGAAGATATTAAGTTACTTAAATGGAGTAGGTAATGATACATGGGTTTAGAAGGCCTGAAATAAGGTCAAAGATGCTTTGATTATCTTGGGAGATTTTGCCAAGTCCTCAGAGCTGGACACTTCTAGTACCTGACATGCTAATGACCACCATTAGAGACGCCACCATGGAGTGTGCAGCGTTTCTTCTTTGGTGTTTCTGATTGCTTTTTGCGAAAAATAAATAAAATAAAAATAAACCCTGGTCATTATATTATTTGTTGGTCCTCTTTCCCAAAGTATATTCAGGCTTATAGGTTTTCCCTTAGTTGTGTTTTGTTTTGTTTAGATTATTGAATGTTAGAACCAGAGAGAAACCTGAGGAGTGTTTAGTTCAGCTTTTATATTTTGAAGAGCAAATTGAAGCTTGGAGCAATTACGTGCTTTGCCTGGAATCGCATGTGTTGGGAGTTTTATTCAGTCCTGTGTTGATTGCATTTCACTACTTCCTGTTGGATTTGGATGATCTCATTCACATAGGAAGTTGGGATCTGTCAGATTCCAGTCTTTAGAGATACCCTCAATCTGGTCGCTCCTAACACCTGCATTATTGAAAACATATGTATAAACTGTATAGTTGGATTATTTCCTAGAATATGCCAGCTCTTTCTTATTTTAATTGCCCACAGTAGTATTTTCTAGTCCTTTCTGAGTTTGTGGATGTGTGTTACTTGAGGCTGATAGCTTGATTCACGTTAGTTCACAGTTTCGTTCTCTCTTTATGTGTGCATCAGCTTCCACTGAGCCTAACCAGTTGCTCCTTGATTTACTGTGTTGAAGAGGCTTTATTCTATACTCTTACTCCTTCTGAAAGCAGTAAGGCTCCACAGAAATTTCCATTTATCTCTTAATGTGTATTGGCTCTGCAGGATGGGTTAGATTTCTTCAGCCTGAACGTGTACTTGTAATGTTTTTCAAGTTGGAATGCATTTTTAAAGTCTTTGTGTTATTCTGCCTATCCCAAAGGACTACTGTGTCATTGGCTTCTGATAATTGAGTAGTTCTGGTTTGTGGTATAAAACTGAGCAAATATGAAATTCTGTTTTACAGATTGTGACTTCGTTTATCAAATTAAGCAAAGGAAAGAAAACAATTATTAGAAAGGCATGTTTGTAGTTTATAACATGAATGTTTTCTTTAGAAGAAGCTATCGTAATGACTATATATATATATCCACATATATTTTCTTTCTTTTAGACGATTTGTGCACTCATTTGTGGATGCCCCATTGTAAAGCCAGAGTATTTTACTGAATTCCTCCAAGCAGTTCAGTCCAAGAAACAGCCTCCACAAATAGAAAGGTATATTATGTGTTTCTAATTAACAACATATGACAGAAAAGATGAGCGCATTGACTTTCGGTTAACTCTCTGGAATTCTAGATGTGATAGTTGCTGTGTTCCACGTTTCTCTTGTGTGTGTGTATGTGTTCCATGTTAATGAAATTTTTTCAGTTAGTATGTAAAGAAAGAGTACCCCAAATTCTTAATTGGTTATTTCTTAGCTCTGTGAAACAGATGTTAACTGCTAATATATAACAAAAAACTGTTGAAGCATGGTAAATAGGTCAGCATTGCTCATGTGCCAGTGTCGGGGTCATGGGTGAGGTACCCTTGGTAGTGGGGCTGCAGCAACCCTCTTGGAGAACCACATATTTGGACCTAAATGTTGACAGCACTGGGCACTGCTTTTGTTACCTCATTTCAAAATGAGATCACTGACACAGTTTGGTAGCTCTAGATTAGTAATTCCATCTATAAAATCTGAGCACATGGCTTGCTCTCACCCTAATTGCTTGTTAAAAGAAATGTTGATTGTTGGTAATTGCAACAAAAGGTGGATGATACGTGCCAGATTTGTGAGCCACTAGACTTGGAGATCTGGCCTAGACTTGGAGTTTCTGGCCTTTTTTGTCTTTGAGGTGGCATCTGAGGACCTCAGCTGGTTTGTAGGAGCAGGCCAACTCATTCTAGTGCACCTGGACATGCTCCTCTCCTTTGCACTGGATTCAGGGCAGGCAGCACAGCATGCACTGTGTGTTTCAGCGCTAGGACAAACAGTCCACTCTGTGCTCCCTGAGATTGGGGATCCTGCCTTGTCTGGGACCAACCAGTCCTGAAAGCCTGGGGTTCTTGGTGACACCAAAGGCTGTTGGTTGGATCACCCCACATTTCCTGCCATGGGTGCGACTGCCTGTAACCTGTTAGACCCCTAACCTGCTGCCCAAAAGCCATCAGTGCCGCCAGATTGTACGATTACAAGCTTACATTGATTCTATAGAATGACTGGCTATTTCAAATGGCCTTAAGTTTAGGAGTGTTAAGCAAGTTAAGAATTTCCAAAGTATTTTTATCAGCATGTTGTAGTGTTACTAATATTTTTATTTTATAAGGATTTATTTATTCTTATTGGAAAGACAGATCAGGTTTATGACGAGAAAGAGAGACAGACAAAGATCTTCCATCCGCTGGTTCACTTCCCAAATGGCTGCAACAGCCAAAACTGAGCTGATCTGAAACCAGGAGCCAGGAGCTTCTTCTGGGTCTCCCAGATGGGTACTGGATGCAAAGGTTTTGGGCCTTCCTCTGCTGATTTCCCAGGCCAAAAGCATGGAGCTGGATGGGAAGTGGAACGGCTGGAACACAAATCAGCACCCATGTGGGATGCCAGTGCTTACAAGACAAAGATTTAACCTCTGAGCCATTGCGCCGGGCCCACTCATTTTATTGTTAGAGCAGTAACAAAGTGGTTCATGTTCATAAGCATGTCTTATTGCATACATATGTATGAGCTATGTTTTTATAAGACTGACAGGTATAGATTTGTTAATATCAGCATCACCTGAAACACATGGTTATGTGTTATGCTACATCACGATGGGTATGAAGTACTGGGTAACAGTGGTAGTTTGTGATTTTTGTCCTTCTACTTCCAAAAATTTATTTATTTTATTGGAAGGCAGATTTATAGAGAGTAGGGCAGAGAGAAAGATTTTTCATTCCACTGGTTCAATGTCCAAGTGGCCGCAATGGCCAGAGTTGAGTCGATCTGAAGCCAGGAGCCAGAAGCTTCTTCCAAGTCTCCAATGTGGGTGCAGATCCCAAGATGTTGGGCAATCCTCCAAGGCTTGTGCAGGCCACAGGCAGGGAGCTGGATGGGATGTGGAGCAGCCAGGACACAAAACTGGCAGTCAAATGGGATCCCAGGGCATGCACCACAAGGATTTAGCCATATGGGATCCCAGTGCTTTCAAGGCAAGGATTTAACCACTGAGCCATTGTGCCGGGCCTCCACATCCTCTTTTGATGTCACCTTCAGCCTCATACACATCCTTTGAGGTCCTGAGTGTGGACATGGTCACCAGGGGAAATGCAGAAGTAGGCAGGTGACAGAACCTTGGAGAGCCACTGTCAGCAGGGTTCTGTGGACGTTGTCTGAGATGCTGAGTCTCCTTTGTAGCTTGCTCTTTGCTTTTCTGCTGGCCCCATCCACGTGGCCTTTCATTTTCTGCCCTGGTGGCCCAATGTGGTGCTGACCTCCTCCAGAGTGGCCAGAAGAGGATCAGGGTAAAGCATACACACAGAGACGGCACAACAGCCTAGAATCACTGCCCATGTTACCTTGTGGATATTTGAAGATCTGGCCAAAGACTATCCAGTGCTGGTGACCTTGAAGGGAAAAGAGAGAAAGGAGGGAGGGAGAAAAGTAAAGAAGGAAGGCAGGCAGGCAGGCAGTAGTAGGTTCTTTTTTTAAATATTTATTTTTATCTGGGGCCAGGTGTGGTTGTCTAACAGCTAAAGTACTCACCTTGAACACACCGGGATCCCATATAGGTGCCAATTCTAATCCTGGCAGCCCTGGTTCTTATCCAGCTCCTTGCTTATGGCCTGGGAAAGTAGTGGAGGATGGCCCAAAGTCTTAGAATCCTGCACCCACTTGGGAGACCTGGAGGAAGTTCCTGGCTCCAAGCTTTGGATCGGCTTAGCTTCGGCTGGTGCAGTCTCTGGGGTGTGAATTATCAGATGGAAGATCTTCCTCTCTGTTTCTCCTCCTCTCTGTATATCTGACTTTGCAATAAAGATAAAATAAATCTTTACATCATGCATATGGCATAGGTGGGGGGCAGACCAGGCTGAACCCATTCACATCAACTGCTGGCGAATCTGAGCACCAGCATAGAGTGTGGGTCAGGCCAGTTTCAGTCACAACACATACTAGTGCACATTAAGGAATGCCAACGTGAGGTGAGCCGTACCAGATATGGTTGCAGTACCCAAACAGCACACGTGAGAACCGGGGAGTCGGGGGGGATAGAGGAGGTAAAGCTGACAGGGGAATGTTGGCTCCCCTGCTGGACAACCACTCCTACTGGAGAGCATGAGTTGGAATGTGGGCAGACCAGACTAGGCAGGGCTACAACACCTGTGGGCCTCATGTGAGCTAGACTTGGGGAAGGGCCAGGTTTGGCTAACTGTTCCGACTGGTGCAAACAAAAATTAGAGTGGGTGAGGGTTAGTTGGGCTTTGCCACATCATCAGATGGCAGAGGCTGGCACTGGAGGCCAATTCTGTTAAGTTAAGTGCCAGAACCACCTGGAGAGTGCACAATCCGGAAGTTGGCTTGGCCTAGTAGGGAGTTAGTGGGCACCTCCCTTGTGGGTAACCACTCCCACTGGAGAGCATGAAAACCAGGGCAGGGACAGGGGTGGCTAGACAGAAAGGCATCTGCAAGTGTGTGTGGGGGCTGGATAGTAGGTTGGTTGAGTTGAACTAGGCTTCAATGCCCATTGACAAGTACCAGATCTAAATGGGATGTGGGACAGACTGAACAAGCCTGCGGTACATACTGGCATGCATGGGAACCAGGGTAGGGAGCAGGCCTGGTGGGGGATATGGGGAGTTGCCCCAACCATGCTGCAACTTCCCCTGGATGTGTGAGAACCGAGTATGAAGTGGGTAGGATCGAGCTGGGCTACAACACCCATGGTTCAAGTAAATGACAGGGCTGGAAACAGAACTGACCCAGCAATTGCAGCGACCAGCATGTGCATAAGCTGATTGGGGCGACAGACTGTGCTAGATCCTGTTCTTTCAAATTCACACAAAATCAGGTTTGGGATCACTCAGATGAAGTTTCTTTGGAGATCCCTCCAACTGCACGGCTGATCTCAGAACCCCAACCATGAAAAGACTGTGCCAGCCAGTGGACTCTGAATAGGTTTCATAGTGATTGGAATGGTGAGACTGGCAGCAATTCAGACCTGTTGAACTATCAGAACTGCAAGTGGAGCAACCAGGATTTGAACCAGTGCCTGTATAGGGTGCTAGCACTGCAGGTATAGGACTGGCTAGCTATGCCACTGAGCCTGTCCATTGTGATTTTTTTATTACATAAACACCTTTATTTCTGAAACAGATGATTACTACTCTTGCGTGTAATGAACATAAAATTTTTACCCATGACAAAGTCATATTCAGTGCCACTGTGTATCCTTTTTTCTTTTTCTTCTTTTGTTTTTTTAAAGATTTATTTTATTTTTATTAGAAAGGCAGATATACAGAGAGGAGAGACAGAGAGGAAGATCTTCCGGCCGATGATTAACTCCCCTAGTTAGCGCAACGGCCGATGCTATGCTGATCTGAAGCCAGGAGCCTCTTCCTGGTCTCCCACGCGGGTGCAGGGTCCCAAAGCTTTGGGCCATCCTTGACTGCTTTCCCGGGCCACAGGCAGGGAGCTGGATGGGAAGCGGGGCTGCCGGGATTAGAACCAGCACCCCGGGCCCGGCGCGGTGGCACAAGTGGTTAAGGTCCTCACCTAGCACGCCCGGGATCCCATATGGGCGCCGGTTCTAATCCCGGCAGCCCCGCTTCCCTTCCAGCTCCCTGCCCGTGGCCTGGGAAAGCAGTCGAGGACGGCCCAAAGCTTTGGGACCCTGCACCCACGTGGGAGACCCAGAAGAGGCTCCTGGCTTCGGATCGGCATAGTATCGGCCGTTGCACTCACTTGGGGAGTGAATCATCGGACGGAAGATCTTCCTCTCTGTCTCTCCTCTCTGTATATCCGCCTTTCCAATGAAAAAAATAATAAAAATAAATCTTTAAAAAAGAAAAAAAAATCCTAAATAACAAGTAATTTTATTTCTCCTTTTCCATCCCTTATATGACTCCATTAAAGAACGATGATGAGCTTCAGAAGATGGTGATGAACTTCAAGAAAAGTGAATTTAGATCATTGGTGGTTAGCTCCACTTCCAGAAATATGTTGGATGTAAATATTGATGATGGTCAACTGAAGGTTTTCAAGAAATTCAAAAAGGTTGGTATTTCTTTAACTATATCACAAGAGGGCAGTGTTTGAAATACTA